TGTCCAATGAATTCCCCTTTCTTTTGGGTCTCCTCTCTTTGGAATGGGCACAGGGTCTCTTCCAGTCAGTTGGCCAGGTAGTTGTCTCCAGATTACTTGCCATAGATGAGTGATTGCCTCCAGTCCTTGAAAGATTTTAATTAGTTTTCCATCAGTTCTGAGAACCTTATTCTTTGCCAATGACTTTAATGCACTCTGGACTTCCTCATTCAATCTTCAGTATCATGGCTCTTCATCATATGCTACCGCTTGAAATGGTTGAACTAATATCTTCTTCTATTTCCAGCAACTTTTGTGCATTGGTAGAGTCCCAGTATATTTCAAGGTGACTTTAAGGAGCTCTGGTAGCGTAGTGGTTACAAATCAGGCTGCTAACCTCTGGGTCAGCAGTTCGAAACTACCAGCTGTTCGGCAGGAGAAAGATGAGGCTTTTTTCTAGCTGTTCGGCAGGAGAAAGATGAGGCTTTTTTCTCCCGTAAAGATTTACAGCCTCGGAAACCCTGTACAGGGTCGCTATGAGTCGGAACCCACTCAATGGCACATAACAACAATGAGGGGCTTCAAAAGGTTCATGAAAAAAGTTAAATTAAAAATAATGAAATTTCCCGTAAACTTTTTAAAGCTCCCACATAAATGTGTGTCTTTGAAAAAGTGCTCCAAAGTAATGCTGCAGTCTTCTTAATACTTCAGATCCATTCATAGACACAGAATGTTTAGTATTTATATTTTTAGTGATGTATAATTGCTGACAGGTGTTCAGGACTTGCCAAGTTAATCCATCAATCATAAAATTCTCCATCAAATATTTATCTGAAGACTTTTCATCTATTGATGATTTTTGCTTGGCTTCATTATTTTGTTACGGTTTTTTTAAATGGTAAATTTCTTATTATTTATTTATGATATATTCACTTATTTGTTTTGTGTAAATTCAAATTATTTTGTCAGTACTTCTGACTTGTAAAAGTTAGAATATTTGATCAATTTTTCAGTCTAAAGTACTTATTTCATTTAGAAGTCCAAATGGTAACTCAAGATTAAGAAAAATGACAACAATCAATTCATGCCTATTGATAATTACACTGAATGTAAATGGATTAAATGTACCAGTCAAGATACAAAGAGCAGAATGGATCAGAAAATCGGATCCTTCAATATGCTGTCTACATGTCAAAAAGATGGAGATAGCTTAAATGCCCATCATCATAAGAATGGTTAAGCATCTTTGGTACATGCAGATAATGGAGTACTACAAAACATTGAAGAATGTAGATGAATCTGTGAAACAGTACAACATGGTTGAACTTGAAGGGCATACTGAGTGAGATTAGTCAATTGCAAAAGGACAAACATTGCATGAAACCAGCACTGTAAAAAGTTAAACAAACAGAAAAAAACCCCACCAAACCAAAAACAAAAATGTTTTCTTAATACAAGAAATAACTTATGATGGTTCTGGTGGCGGGGTGAGCAAAATTACCATGGGGTAGAGGGTAAACACACTGTTAACATTCATTGACAGGGCTGGGAATACAAAGCAAGAAGATTAGCAGAGGAAAGATGAAGGTAGCTGAAGGCACAGAGAGGAATGCAGTTGTTAAAGTGAATTATTAAATTAAACAGAGGTAGCTGCAGTTAACTGTTGGTAAATGGAGGGGATTGCAATCATGTAATGAAGCAAAGTATATGTTGAATGTAAAACTGATGGTCTGCTTTGTAAAGATTGACTCAATGTACAATAAAAAGTTAAAAAATAAACCACTAAGGCCATAGTTTCCAATATCACCAAATTACACAAGCCACCACATTCTGAAATAACTAGTGGAATTTTATAATAAAATCTATTATCCAGCTATTTTGTACATGAACAACCTACAATTAATATTAATGAATGCCAACTTAACAAGGGAAGAATCATCTTGTCTGTGGTGGTTAAGGTTATATGCCAATTTCGCTGTGCCAGTGGCTTGGCAATTATAGAATAAATCCTCCATTTTGTGATTTCATGTGGTCATTCTTTATTTTCACATATTGCCAATTTTCTCAATTACCTCATCTTTTATAACCATGATGATAGTAAATAGAGGGTGTATTCTGTGTTCTATTTCTTCCTGAATCCACTTAGATTATTTTTGTATTTCTAGTAATTTTTGTCCATATCATGTAGCTATCCAAATATTTTCAAGGTAGTTCTTAGAATTTACTTTTTATGTATGTAAGTTTGTACTAATGTCTCTTGTTTCATTTCTGACTTTAGAAATTTGAGTCTTCTCTCTCTTTTTCTTTTTGCTCTATTTCTTACCTATCTAGTGCTGCAAATACAAGAAATGAATGACTTCAAAGAGTAGACATTTATTTTCTCTCTTTTCTTTTTGAGATTAAAATTCCAAATCAGAATCTTGAACATCCATGTCAATTCTCTCTGTCAGTGGGCTTCTCTCCTACTTTCTGATGACTTCCAGTAAAACTGGTGTTCATTGATCATTACATGGCATCTGTTCTTCGCTGTGCACCACTCTCTGTGTATTCTACTCTTTTTATAATTCAAAGCTACAGTTAGTTAGATTTAGGATTCAGTGTACACTTACTATGAACTCATTAGCAAAACATATTCACATTCACAGTTATAAATTTTTTGGAATACAGTTCACTCCACAATTTTAAATAATTTTGTTCATTTTTCAAAGAACCAATTTTGTATTCTGTTTCATTTTTCTCTATGTTATTTGCTTTCTTCTTAGTTTGCTCTTTTCATGCTTTCTTAAGTTGGAAGGCTAGTAAAGCTATTATATTGATAAATTTACCCTTCCTAGCGTAGTGGTTAAAGGAGCTCTGGTAGCGTAGTGGTTACCAATCGGGCTGCGAACCTTAAGGTCAGCGGTTCGAAACTACCAGCTGCTCCACGGGAGAAAGATGAGGCTTTCTACTCCTGTAAAGATTTACACCCTCGGAAACCCTATACAGGGTCGCTATGGGTCGGAACCGACTCGATGGCACTTAACAACAACAACAACAAGCGTAGTGGTTACGAATCTGGCTGTGAACTGCAAGGTCATCAGTTCAAAACTACTAGCTGTCCCGTGGGAGAAAGATGAGGCTTTATGCTCCCGTAAAGATTTACAGCCTCGGAAACTGTACAGGGTTGCTATGAGTCGGAACTGACTCCATGGCACATAACAATAACAACATGCTTGTTTAACCCATGATTATTTTCTCACAGATTTATGAACTTGCCAAATTTGTATTCCTCATTTCTGCTTCATTCATTGTCACTGGAGGATATATTTTGTATCATTTTATTTGTTTATTTTTTTTTTTTACTTGTGAATTGAGTGAAGGTTGACAGACAAGATAACCAGCTTTACAGTCAACAAATAGTGTATTTTGTTTCCTTTCAATGATTGCAGTCCCCTCTTGTGGAACAACAGTTATCCCCTTCGTCTATGTTGCATTTAAGTTCATGTTTATAAGTGTTCTATGTTCTTCTGTGATTCCCACTTTGGTCATTATAAACAGCATATCTTTGGGATTATGGAATTTGTTTTTGAGGGATGGTATTCTAATATATTCAGAATTCTGATGTGGCACTGTAGGATAACTGCATGGTCTGTAGTTCAAAACCACGATCCAATTCTCAGAAATCCTACATAGGTTTATTAAGAGTTGGAGCCAAGCAGACTAAATAGAGCAGCATGGTACAATTGTCTGCATGTTGTTTGTACTATGCTGTTTGAGTGTTTGTTCCATTTATATTAATGTTGCAGCTAATAAGATACAACTTGTCTGCCTTTTTGTTTCCCCCTTTTTTGTGTGTGTGTGCATTTCTTATTTCTCTTTACATTACTGCTTTCCATTTAAAATATTTTCTCATAGCATTTTTACCATTTCTCTCTTTTTTTGCCCTTATAATACGTGTTTTAAATAAAATACTTTGCCATCAATTTACATGACTTCTCACTTAAATTAGTCCATAAATGGCATACTTTTACAACTTAACCAAAGGGAAAATATATGATAGTAAAATGAAAGAGAATGAAATGTAAGGCACTTAGCTTTGTTATTAAAAGAAGAGTTCAAATGAGTTTCTAAATTTGTAATCAGACTCAATTTTAAGTGGCCAGTAATAGAAATTTTTTCTTTCTTTTATTTTTTAATTAATGATTTTTTTAAGAGTTATTTTCTCAGTGGTTTCCCTGGGGGAATGCAATTGACATACCTATTTAAAGTTCTTCCTGTGTTTTGTGATTGCCAATCCATTTAGTTTTGTGTTGTGAAGTAGTTACCTTCATGTATTTGAACAAGTTTAAAAGAGCTGGTAAAGTTTAATGGAAATCTTTAGTAAGTTTGTTGTTGCCTTCTACTCAGTCCAGCAAATGGTGACCCTGTCTTGGCTTTCTGAGGCAAAACTGGTTGGTTGGAAACACCGACCTTGTGATAGCAATCCAGTGCTTATCTACAACATCTTCTAACATCTGGACTTCTACACTGATATAAATTATTCTTAAGGAACAGTGCCTGGAAAAGTATGAGAGGTGCTTTTAGTGTGGTAGTTAAGTGTTTTTCTTCTTAGTTTGAGTGCTAATTACATGGATGCTTTCTCTTTGTGACTGTGTTGTTCTTGTTATGTGCTGTTGAGTTGATTCCAACTTACAATATAGAAAAATTACATTAACTTCAATTCCATTTTTCCAGAAAATTTTGAAGCCCTTTGCAATTAATGTTGTTGTTGTTGTTAAGTGCCGCCGAGTCAGTTCCGACCCGTAGCGACCCTGTACAGGATCTCCAAGGGTGTAAATCTTTACGGGAGTAGAAAGCCTCATCTTTCTCCTGTGGAGCGGCTGGTAGTTTCGAACCGCTGACCTTAAGGTTCGCAGCCCAATTCGTAACCACTACACTACCAGAGCTCTTGCAATTAATAGTGTATATAATTATTTTATGAGGCTGACAACTTAGGTAATCTTATCATCTATATCCACAAATGTTGTCCTTTGATTTTTCAGGAGAACCTGTGCTTGTCAGGGGCTGGACCCAGAGACCTGTGGTGCTTCCTTTTCTTTTGGTTGTTCATGGAGCATGTACTACAATGGATGTAAATTTGCTAGAAGCAAGATCCCAAGGAAATTTAAACTGCTTGGGGATGACCCAAAAGAGGTTAGTGTACTAGTTGATGTATAATGTCTATTTTTTGCATAGAGAATTGATGACAATAGACAAAATGAACACTATGGATCCCATTAACAGGGCATAATATAATTTCATAAATGAATGATTTAAGCAATATTATTATAACTTTATAAAGTAACTTTATATACTCTGTTATACTTCGGTATACCAAAAATAGAGTCCTTGTGGCACTGGGTTGCTAACCTACAAGGTTGGTTTGAACCCACCATCTGCTCCTTGTGAACCCTATACAGGAATGTTGAGTTGGAACTGACTCAGCAACAGCATATCAAAGCAGCATAAATTCTCTTTACTGATTACTTCGTTCTATCCAGTGTCTTTTTGTTTATATATACCCAACTTGAGCTATGAGAATTTTACCCATATATAAATCATCCATTAACTTGTAGTCGTTCTAAGAAATACATGAAGTCTCAAATATTTGAAGTGCCAATTTCATAAACATGTTTTAAATACAGAATTTGGAAATCGACAAATTAAACCAAGCAAATCCTTTGTTCAATTTGAACAGAGTAGAGAATATCACCATATGGCTTCATTCTTCTAACCCACCTCCCAATGGACAAAAATACTTATAAAGAGCCAAAATTCTGCATGCAAAGTAGAAATCTTACGAAGATACCAGACAGGTAGATATTTAATAGTATAAACAAAAATGGGTGATAGTGTATACTTTTTACTTAGAATACAGTCATGCTTTCAAGATGCTTTCATTAATTAACAAGAAAGGCACTATATAATGTGGACTCAATTTAAAGGGAGGGAAATCTCATAATGTCTATCATATGTAGAACTGATTTGGAATTTAATATATAGAGTTATTCATTTTATACAGGAAGAAAAACTAGAGTCTCACTTGCAAAACCTGTCTACTCTTATGGCACCAACATACAAGAAACTTGCACCTGATGCATATGATAATCAGGTAAGTGTAATTACTTAATGCAATGATTTGAACTATTTCCGTGATCTACCTATTTCCAAACACTTTGCGGTGTTCTGTTTCTGAATATTAAAACTGGGTCATCCAAAATTTATTCATTAAATCAAACTATGGATTCTAACAAGCTACCAAGTCCATAATTTAAACACATTGAAAGTAATTCATTGGTACTGTACTGTACATGTTTCCATACATGTCATCTTTTGCTAAATAGCTTCGATATTTTTGTTTTATTAAGAAAACAATGAATTTGTAGCAAAATATTTTCACTTACTCACCCTACCCCCTTTCTGTCTGTCTGTCTGTCTGTCTGTCTGTCTGTCTGTCTCTCTCTCTCTCTCTCTCTCTCTCTCACACACACACACACACACACACACACACACACAGGGACTTCAAAACAGTTCATGGATAAATGGATTTAAGAGATAAAGGAATTTCTCCACAAACTTTTTATATATATATTTGTATGGTTATGTGATTTCAATTATCAAAGCAATTTTTTAAGAGAACAGAATTTAGCATGTTTGGTGGTGGTTATGTGCCGTGGAGTTGGTTCCAACTCATAGCAACCCTGTACAGGACTTTTGAGGCTGTAAATCTGTACAGGAGCAGAAAGTCTCATCTTTCTCCCACGGAACAGCTGGTAGTTTCGTACTACTGACCTTGCGGTTCGCAGCCCATTTTATAACCACTACACTACCGGAGCTCCTTAGGATGTATAGGACCTGCTTTAAAAATGTATTAAATATGGTGTTAGCATAATATATAGTCATGAATTATAGTAGAAGAGTCTAGAAATAGATCCAGTATACATTGAGCCTTTAAAAAGTTTGTGGGTAAATGAAATGGAAAAATAATGACATTTTCCCACTAACTTTTAGAACCCCCTTTATATATGGTCGATTGAATTTCAACAAAGGTAATCCTTTGGGATGTGGTATATGGTAATATTTTTATGATTGATCAAATAGAAAAAGTTAAACTGGACCTTTAACTTAATACCGTAGATAAAAAATGAACTCCAAATGGAAATATTTAAATAAAATTGCCAACTAACGAATACTAACAGAAAACCAACAAATATGTTGTTGCTTAGGAAGAGGAGGGTAGGATGTGAGTGGGAGAGATAGCTTATAAAAAGGAAAAAGAAAACTTTTCAGTGATGGATCTATACATTATTTTTATTTTAAAATTATTTCATGGTCATAGCACATTTGAAAATTTGTATATAAGAGATATTGTTGGGGTTTTTTTTGTTTTTGTTTTTTTTTTAATTAAATGTTTTTATTTTGCATTGAGTGAAAGTTTACAGGGCACATCATCAGTTTCACATTCAACCATTCATATAGCTTGTTTCATTACATTATTATCCCTGGTATATATCATCAGTTTACAGTGTTTCTCTCTATCCTCTTTAGCTTTTTTTTTTTTTTGGATGGGGGGGGACTTGGCTTATTGGAATTTACAGTCTCGGCTTTTAGGGGAGGTTTTTACATTTGTCTGTGGATATCCAGGGCTCACGTATGAGATTACTAACAAGCATTACTGAATAATCAGATGAGGGACAGTTTGTTATGTCTACTAGGTGGCTAGAGTCTGATCCTCAGAGCCTATGGTTTGGACGGTCAACTACGCTTGGGCCCACAGGGGCTTGGCCTCCTGACCGGGTCTGTGCTGTCTGCATCTGAGTCCTCCTTATTTATTGATTGTTTAAGGGACGCTGCCTGTCTTAGGTGGTCAGTGCGAATTCCTCAGTCTTACCAGTCATTGAGACTCATTGCAGCATGGCAATGTCTCTGTCCCAAGTAGCCGAGGTTCCACGTGATCCTTACCCGTCTCTGGCCACACGTCCAGCATAAACAGCCGCCATCCGAGGAAGGCAGGGAGGGAGGAGATCAGCTGGGGACCCCATGCGCCCGACGTTGCCGGCCCACCACCTGCTCTAAGGTGACCAAGCAGGATCACTATGCTGAAGTTCAATCCAGTTCCTAGGGGATCTTATTCTCTAGCATGGGTAGCAAATGGGTAGCCACGCAGTGTTCACTTTGAGAATTACTTATATCATAAATTTGAGCGTGTAGCTGATGAATATCCCCAGACAAGTGTATATTGTTCCACAACCTCCTAAAATGCTGTTGGATTAAGTTCCAATTAATTTCTGGGTTACTGAAAGATAACACAAATCTACTTATACCTTGGGTAACCTTAGCTGGGAGTGTAGTCTGGATATATTGGGTCTTATTTCCCTTAAGCGGTCTTCCTTTCTCTAAAGCATTTAGCCTGTTTTGTGAGCCTTTGTCTATTTACTCTCAGATCATATGAGCGAGACTAATGTCCCTAGACATTTGATTTACATGATGGGCAGGGCAAAAAAAGGTAACAATTTCTGTTTGTGCAGTGATTCTTGACCTGAGAGCAAAGGCACATGGCACGTTTGAGGGCTAGGCACTGCAGTGCTTTGCCTAGCTTCTGAAAACTTTAACAGGGGATAAAGCCTATGATGGTTGATGGACGAATGCAAAATCAGTAACATCTATTAACTCCCCATTCCCCACGCCCGACAAGCAAAACAGCAGAATGTCTCTGGGGTTTATCCAGTTCCCCAAGGATTAAATAGTTCTTAAAGTCTTCTCTGCTGTGGCTGGCTCGCTGGTACTCTTGCAGGGGGGACCTCAATGGGAATGCAGATGGCATCCCTCTTTCAGGTGGGTCTTCGGTGAATGCTGGGTCCCTCAGGCATGCTCGCTCCAAAGCTCCAAAGCTCTCTTGGCTACAATGTTGATTTCCACTGCAGCGTCAGTTTGAACCACAGGGTTCATGGTTCAAGTTCACAAGTTCACTCCTCAGAAGCCCTGTCCAGGATCAGTATGAGTCAGTTCTGACTCAACTGCACTTAACTGCAACAACAGCTTAGTGTAAGACTGTTTTAAAACATTTTCACCATATGAAAATCTGGTTATTATTAAGTTAATATTTTCTAAAACACTTAGTCTAATAACCAGTAAATAATGCACCAGACTGCAAAGCTGTTTGAACTGCAAGGTTGGCAGTACAAACTCACCATCTGCTTCTCGGAAACCATATGCAAGGTCAATATGGGTTGGAATTGACTCGACAGCACTTCACAACAACAAACAACAACATTAACAATAGAGTCCTGGGTTAATACTCTTGGACTGCAAGGTAAGCAGTTCTAGCTCACCAGCCGTTCCTTGAAAACCCCTGCAGGCACTTAACAACAACAACATTATCAATTATACTTCACAAGTACTGTGTCAATGTATTCGCTCTATATTGTGTCTCTCCATTCTTTCTGTAGATGAAAATACACATTAGTAAAACACACATTATTTAAGTTTCTAAGTAACGTGCTTCTGCATTCTCACATAAATGCACTATTGTTTTTCAGATTGAATATGAAGACAGAGCATCAGAGTGCCGCCTGGGTCTGAAGGGAGGTCGACCATTCTCAGGGGTTACTGCCTGTCTGGACTTCTGTGCTCATGCCCATAGAGACTTGCACAACATGCAGAATGGTAGCACGTTGGTAAGTGGGGCTGAGGACAGTAATGGCAGCAGCTGAGGCGTTTGCAGCATTTGTTTACGGTAGTATCTTCTTGGCAGTTTTCACTCCAAGATGTCACTCCAAGATGTGTGGTGACCTTGTTTGGCATAATTAGTTCTTTTGGCATATTTTTAAAGTACTATTGATAAGTGCATGATCATAATTTAAACGTTTAGCACTAATATCAACCAGTGACTATATTGGTGCTATTTGTTGTCATTGTGTCACCTACAACTTATATGCAACAGAATGGAATGTTACCCTTCTTGTCCCATCTTCAAGATCTTGAGTGTCAACATCTTGTGTTCATTGCATTGTGAGTGCCTTTCAACCTATGGTGTTTATCTTCCAGCACTATGACTGGACAGTTTTCTGTAATGATCCATCGAGTTTTCATTGGCTAGTTTTCAGAAGCAGGTCAACACAGTTTTTCCAAGTCAATCTTAGTCTGGAAGCTCCACTGAAACCTGTCATCCATGACTCTGCCAAATTTGAAATATCTGTGGCATAGCTTTTTGCATCATAGCAATACAAAATTGACACGTAGTAAGTAGTAGAGTATGCATCACTAGCTACATTTGGCTGAAAAAAAATCCTCCGTACTCAGTGTCATATCTGGTAGATTATGATCAGTTTACACAAACCAAGGTGCCAATCCACCTCACAAAGAAAAGTACAAATGAGAAATGCATGTTGATTTACTTTCATGTTAACTGCTATAGTGTGAAAGACTATGACAGTACATGAGATGAACCCATTATGACATGAAAAGAATGGATTCGTTTTGTTAATAGGAGGCTATGGTGATACAAAAATGGGCTAAGCCAAGCAATGTTTCATACCAACAAAGTCCTAGGTGTTTCTTTGCATGTACAGAGGTATGTAATAGAATTGTTGTTAAGTGCCATTGAGTCAATTGATATAGACTAAAGAGGGAATTTTTTAAGAAAATCAAGAAACTATATTCATCTAATGGGTCATCAACATACATACAAGATGAAAAATGGAAGCCAGGCATGGAAGTTTCTACCAGGAAAGAAAAGAATTCAGGGTGCTAATGAGAAAGATGAGATAATTTTAAGAAGCAGTTGTGGAGTTTCTATTAATGAAGCATAAAAGGTATTGGTTTGTTCTAGAGCAGGAGTTGTAAAACCTGTTGTATGTAGATCTACAGAGTAAATATTTTAGATTTTGCAGGCTACACTTGATTTTTGTCACAACTTTCTGTTTGTATGCTTGACTATTTAAAGCCATACAAAAATAGGCTGTGAGGCTGATTGGCCATAGCAAGTAGTTTGCTAGTCTCTGGTCTAGAGTAATAAACATAGTCACTACTATCTTCCCTGACCTCTGAAATCATTACTAATCATTTCTTGAGTGCCTGCTCATTATTAGGAAGCTATGCTGCTGTCTAAGAAATGGAAGGAAAAAATGATTACAATCCCCTCCTTGTGCCAGCAGTTAATGGGATTTCTCTCTATTCACCTTAGCTCTTTTAAAAAACAACAACAACAAACAAACAAACAAAAAACACTCAGGCATATATAATAATTGACACCACAAAAGAACACATCTGTAAGTCTGCCTCCTGACCACTATCTCTTAGTCCTTCTCTTCATATGAATCTGGAGTTCTCAGCCACTCCCCTCTCCATGTCACAGTCTCTGGTGTTGCTGCTTCTCTGGATAAGGTCCCGCATTCTGTTGATCTGGCTGTTCTGCTTGTCCTTTCTAATGGGGATGTCCCACTTAAGAAGGTTCTGGATGGAACTCAGGATTCCACCTGAGGTCCTATACTCTGCAAACGCTCCACAAGAGGCCTATTTCACCGGACAAGTTCTAGAACTACTTTTAGGTATTCCAATTAGTTATAGGCTGATTACAGCTTTCTGTAATCATGTTTCCTGACATTCCTTTCTATCCCACTCAAAATAGTGCCTATTTTATAATAGTAGGCAAGGGAAACCAATATACATAAGACAGTCAAGCATCTTAGTATTATTTCTCCTCTATAAACTATGCCTACATCCCTGTATTACAGAACCCTGTTGTTCCAAGGTTGAGCATGCATCACTGTTTACCTCTGTCCCACTTAGGCCATGCAAACCTGTCTTAGTGTTGCCCTATCTACCTTGTTCTTCCATCCCTCCCCCTTTTTCTATTGCCATCCCCAACAGCCGAATTATGATGTGTCTACCTTTACGCTGTGCTCTACCATCACCTCCCTCCACCATCCCCTAAACTCCCTACCCCCGCCCCGGCATTATGTTTACCTTATATTCCATTAACTTTTCCTTCCATTTAAGACAGTCTATTTGTTCCTGTAATCTACCTGACCTTCTCACCACCTGAATCTCTGGTTCTCCTGGTTACCTCCTTTCACATTGTAACTGTTTTGATCCTAGACTGACCTCCCAGATACTCTAAATTTGTTCTTATAGTTTATTCTGTTCTCGACTCTTCATTTGTCAGTTGAGTTCTGGGTGATGCTGCTGCATAAGTCAGTCTCTAGTTGCTGTTTATTCTTGTTGGTTCTCAGTCCACAGAACTCCCATTAGATTGTTTTTCATCTCAGGGTTGGCTTTGGCAAAATCCCTAAACTCCTGTTTATCCTGGAATGTTTTGATTACACCAACATATTTGATTGACAGCTTTGCTGGGTAGAGGATTCTTGGTTAGCAGATTTTTTTCTTTCAAGGTTTTATATGTGTCTTCCCATTGCTTTCTTTCCTGCATGATTTCTGTTGAGAGATCTGAACTTAATCTGATTTGCTTGCCTTTGTGTGTTATACTTCTCTTTTCCCTAGCTACTTTCATTATTCTGTCCTTACATTTGATTTTTGGAGAGCTTGCTTATTATATGTCTTGGTGATTTTCTTTTAGTGTCTCTCCTTCCTGTGGATTCAGTGATCTTCTTGAATGCTTCTCCTTTTTAGGATGTTAGGGAAATTTTCTCCCAGCAGCTTTTCAATTATCTGCTCTATGGACTTGTTTGATTCTTCCTGTTCCGGAATGCCAGTAATTCTTAATTTATTCCTCTTCATGTTGTCCAACATGAATCTTAGACCTTCTTCAGATTCTTTTATCTTTTTTCCTGCTTCTTCTTCTATCTTAGTAGTATTGAGCGATTATCTTCCATTTCACTAGTTCTGGCTTCCATCTCTTCAGTTCTACTCCTTTGCCCTTTCAGTGTATTGTCCATTTCTGATAGTCTATTATTAATCATTTGGACTTTTTTTTCTAGGTTTGAATTGTTTCCAATGCTGTATCTATTTTATTTTATTGTTACTATAGCGCTTTCCTGACTTCTTCCTTATTTTTCTCAACTTCATTGTAAAGTGTTTTGATACATTTTATAATCATTTTTTTCTGAATTCCTTCTCAGGCATGTCCAAAGCCTGCCCTCCTTCCAGTATAGAGTGTATGTCTACTCCAGGTCATTTGTCTCCATCACGTTATCTTGTTTCTGGACATGTGCTGATATGGTCACATGTTTCTGTTTTAAGGGAATATTCAGTAGTTAGCTGTGGCCTTAATACTTAGATGGGTGTATGTTTTGGTAATTTTTATGCTTTCTGATTGCCTCCAGGTTGATATGATAAGGGGATGGGCTTCCCTTTTCACTCTTTTCCTGAGAAATTTCAAGATGTTGGTCATTGTGACGTAACTCAGGATTTAATTTTTGGCCTGTTTCCCTTTTAGTCTGCCTGTCCCACACCACAACCCCCATTCAGGCCTTTATCCTAATGATAAACAGTTCAGGGCCAGCTGTGGCTGTTTTGCGCTGCTGTTTGGTTTTAAGTGGAAACGGCCTCTCTAAATTTTGAAGATACCTGTGTGCATGTGTAATAGTACCCACTGGGGGTGTCCACTAGCCCAGGCAACCCCTCTAGTCACCAGAATGGAGGTGCGCAGACAGCGAGAGACCAATGACAGATACAGAAAAAGAATGTCCTCACCTTTATCTTTGTGGTTCTGTCAGGCGTCTGTGGCTGCTCTGATCCTCCTCTGGTTCAGTTGCACCCATGATGGCCACTCAGGGAGCAGCTGAGCACCTTGGATTAGAAAGCACTGGATTTCTTGCTTCTGTTGAAAATTCCACTGGCTGTAAGCCCTTCCGACTTTCTAAATATTCCTTTATATGTGGTTCAGCATTCTGGCACCATCCCCTGAGCCTGCTTCATCCAGTGTTCTGTGCTTTTGCTGATGGAGATCCTCACTGCACTTCCACCCAATCTACCATCTTGTCAAACCTTTTTAGACTTGATATCCTTTTGATTTTGAGTTTTGTTCTACATTTTTATTCTCCTGTATTTAGGACATACTGATGTGATTTCTTCCAGAGCAGTTGATAATAACAATACCAGCTAATGCTTCTGTCCATGGAAGCTGTGATGCAGATGGTCCATTATACCTGGGACTGATTGTTAATTTACATCTTTGACTTTCCCCACTCTTCTTTACTCCATGTAGGGAGAGACTAAAGATTGCATTTTAGATGGCTACATACAGACCTTTAAGGCCCTAGTTGCTACTCACCAATATTGTTGTTGTTAAGTGCCAGTTGAATCAGTTTCAACTGACAGCAGCTCTTTTTACAGTTTTTGGGCGAGTGGCTGATTTTATTCCTCAGACTTTTTGATTCAAACTAACCTTATCCTATTATCCTATATTCCTTATCCTATAGAGCCATACCAGTAGTCCACTCACCATAGTAGGATGTAGAATATTGTCTTGGTGGACTATGTATAAGCCAGGTCTGTTACAATCATGATCAAATTGCTTTATCAAAGCAATAAGGAACATAATTCATAACCACTGTGCTGCTGTCACTGTTGTTGATAAGTGCCATGGAGTCGCTTCCAACCAATAGTGACCCTACATAGGGTTTCCAAGGAGCAACTTGGTAGATTTGAATTGCTGACCTGTGGTTCGCAGTTCAGTGTTGATCCACAGTACATACCAGAGCTATGCCAGGAAAAAAGAAATGAGAAGAGAAACAATAAATTGAGTTTAAGATAGAAAGAAGAAAAAAAAAGTAAAGATAGAAACAATGTTAAGATATTTATCTGTCGGGGTCCTGCCTCTACAGAAGAGTGAGTGCACGAAGTAGGTAGATCTGGCGGCGAAAGAGAAAGACAAAACAGACACAAAAAAGACAGACACGCAAATTTGATGCAAGCTGAAAGGCAGGCTGGTCTGCAAACATTGCATTGCCTTGCCTTGCATTGCATTGTCTTGCATTGCATTGCCTTGCATTGCATGCAGCACTGACTCTACCTCAAGGAGGGATTTTTCACAAAGGAAAGACGTGATTATTCAGATAAGATTAATCATTCAAAACAGGACACAATGATTCACAGAACAAATTTTAAAATATACATCATAATTGTCTCAAGGATACTTAACATGCTTTTAGCACTTAATCTATAATGGGTAAAGGTGAAAAAGACTTAAAAGGTCATAGAAGGCTTAAAATAAGGTTTTTGAAGGGAGTCAAGCTGTCTTTGTATACTTTGCAAACAAAAGCTCATGCTTTTGTTTGTGAGCATGATCTGGCTTCATTTATCAACTAATAATTCTTTCTTCTTTACTCTTGCAATTCCAGGGAAGATGAGAGACGAGTCTCAACCTTTCTAAGAAGGTGAGGTCTCTCTTCCACATTCCTTTTCTTCTTTCTGGGTTCTACATCTAAATGCTACATCACATTTCCATATAGTTCCAGGAGGAAGAAGAGCATCTGGGTTAAATTGATTATACCCAGAGGGGGTTTGAGGAGGCTGCCACTATTGTCCTCTAATCAATACTCCCAGGATTTGCCAGTCTACTTTGTTTACAAACCTTGAGTAAAAAATATACCTGTTCCTGGCCTTTCTGAGTCCTCTACGGAGACTTTTTCCTATCTCGGCTTTAGAGGGGCTTTGGTTCCATTGTTGTATATGGACATCAAAGGCTCATGCTTCAGGTTAATATCAAGATGCAGTCCTGACATGCATCCCAGGTGACTATTGCTTATTCCTCAAAAAGTTTTGTTCCCAGGACCCTACGCACTGCCAACATAGTGGAGACATTAAGAGAGGCACATAAGAAACCATTTTCTCAGGAGCTACAATTATTGGAGTTAGAAGCATAGAGTGAACAATAAGACCAAAGAAAATTATACAGAGGTAGCCCACCAGTGAGTTCACAAAAACCTATGAACCCTGGACTTCAGGGGTTCACTTCCTTGGCCCTCAGGGTCCATGGCTCGCAATCCTGAGGAGGGGCCCCGGGATTGGATTTTCATCCATCTTGTCACAGGGCCACAGCTTCTCAGTGCTTGTGTATGTCATCCCCGACATTTATCTACCTCTCCCAAATCTCTAACTTTATGTAATTTAGGTTTTACACTTTCGTATCATGTGAAAATATCGTAAACATAGTGAAGGAACCAGGTATAAAGAAAGGTGTGAAGTTTCTTTGTGTTCAAGGGTATGTTGTTAGGTGCCATCAAGTTGGAACCGACCCATAGCAACCTTACGCACAGCAGAATGAAACACTGCCCAATCTTGGGCCAACCTCACTACTGTTGCCACACTTGAGTCCATCAAAGCTGCCACTTGGCCAATCCATCTCATTGGGAGTCTTCCTCTTTTTCTCTGACCCTCCACCTTACCAAACATGATATCCTTCTCCAGCAACTGGTCCCTCCTGACAATCTGTCCAAAGTATGACAGACGAAGTTTGGCCATCTTGGCTCCCAAGGAGCATTCTGGTTGCACTTCTTCCAAAACAGATCTATTGGTTCTTTTGGCAGCCCATGGCACTTTCAATATTCTCCTCCAACACTCAAAAGCATCATTTCTTCTACAGTCTTCCTTATTCACTGTCCAGTTTTTGCATGCTTCTGAGGTTATTGAAAATACCATGGCTTGGGTCAAAGCGCATCTTAGTCCTCAAGCTGACATCTTTGCTCTTCAACACTTTAAAAAGGTCTTGTGCTGCAGCTTTGCGTAATGCAATACATCATTTGATTTCTTGACTGCTGCTTCTGTGAGTGTTGATAGTCGATCCAAGAAGAATGAAGTCCTTGACAACTTGAGTCTTTTCTTCATTAATAAGAATGTTGTTTATTGGTTCAGTGGTGAGGATTTTTGTTTTCTTTACATTGAGATATAATCCATACCAAAGGCTGTACTCTTTGATCTCCATCAATAAATGTTATAAGTCCTCTTCACTTTCAGCAAGCAAGGTTGTATCATCTGCATATCACAGGTTGTTAATGAGTCTTCCCCCATTCGGATGCCATGTTTTTCTTCATAGAACCCAACTTCTGGGATTATTTGCTCAGCATACAGGTTTAATAGGAATACAACATTGTCACACACCTTTCTTAATTTTAAACCATTCAGTGTTCCCATGTTCTGTTTGAACAACTGCCTCTTGGTCCATGTACAGATTCCTCATGAGTACAATTAAGTGTTCAGGAATACTCAGACTTCTCATAGCTTGTCATGATCCACACAATCAAAAGCCTTTGAGTAGTCAATAAAGCACAGGTAAACATCTGTGTGATATTCTCTGCTTTCAGCCATGATGAGTCAAAAACAGGTCATGTAAAGCAGTATTAAGCTGCTTTATATATCATGTCCTGGTGTTGAAATGTGAAAAGTGGGGAGATTATTTCATTTTGTTGGGAGTATTGCTTCTTCCCTTAGAATAAAAAATGACTGAAGAACTGATTTACCACAAGTAAACTAAACTTCTGTAGCACTACAAAATATTCTAAATGTGAACTTGTCTACCTCCCTGTCACCAGCTGCTCCTTGGAAACCCTATATAGGGGCCGCTATGGGTGAGAATTGACTCGATGGCACTTAACAACAACAACAATAGCAAAAACCATTTTGGTACACTCTTTATTAATAACAGATGCATGCCTGTAAGGGAATGCACATGCCATTATCTGGTCCAGCTAGGCCACTACTGCAGATTTAAATACTGAGAGGGAAAAATCACACACACACACACAGATATACACTCTAATACTTACTCGAAACATTTTTTTACTTTGGACCCCAAACTGAGACTGTACCATTTCCCTGCCAGGTATGTACCCTCACTAGAGAAGACAATCGAGAAATTGGTGGAAAACCTGAGGATGAGCAGCTTCATGTTCTGCCTTTATACAAAGTGTCTGATATGGATGAGTTTGGGAGTGTAGATGGTCAGGAGGAGAAAAAACGAAATGGTGCCATTCAGGTACTGAGCTCTTTTCGACGGAAAGTCAGGATGTTAGCAGAGCCAGTCAAGACATGCCGGCAAAGGAAACTAGAGGCCAAGAAAGCTGCAGCCGAGAAGCTTTCCACTCATGAGAACAGCTCCAATAAGAATGAAAAAGAAAAGTCAGCATCACGTACAAAACAGTCTGAAAATGCTAGCCAAGCTAAACAGTTGGCAGGTAAACTATTGTGTTTTGTTATGCTTGTATTACAATTAAACATTGTTAATTTTATTTAGTATTTGTCATAGTTTTAGTTTTTGTTCCTGGATTGTCTCTAAAGTAGTACGGATCAGGCATGATGGAGAAGTTTTGGATTCTAGTTTATGATAAAAATGGCAACATTATTTAACAGGTAAGGAATGTAATGGAAGTAGTTAATTTGACCATGGTAAATAGGGAAGTTGGCAGTAGAGAGAGGATCTAATAGTTTGGAGACAGACTCACCGAACCAAGAATGAGATATTAAGAGATTTAATAAGTCCAATCCTTACCTTACATCATCATACCAGGTCTCTGATGATACTTACTAAGCATTTGTTTATTAGTTGAATTACAGTAAGAGAAATAAATTCTATTCACCTCCTGATATCTCCAATTGTTCTGACTCATAGAGACACCCATATTAGGGTTTTGAGCAGCCACTGGGCCACTGGTGGATTTTAAACACACACCTTGCAGTGCAAACTGACCTTGCAGTCTAGCACATTATATATAATGAAATAGAACTTTGTTTCTATTTCATTCTAATAGGTCTCATCAGGTAACAATCACTTTGGGTCCCAGGCACATCATTTCAGCTCTGTGTACTTGTTCTTAATTTATATAACTTTTTTCTGGTTTTAAAATGAGGTCATAAAACAAGTATATTTTTCAACGCTTCACCTGAAAATTTGAAAGTATCCTCAACATTCCTTCAACAACTGTGTAAATTTCCCTATTTGAAAGCATGTAAATGGAATCACATGCTGATTATATTAGATGCTAAATCTTCCATAACAAATCTTATGTTTATTGTAATTATTTAACAAATTGTACTCAGTGTTAGGTAATGAATAAATAAAACGAAACATGCTCCTTGTGCTTATGAATATATCGTATGGAGTGGCATGAACTTAAACCAGATAATTATGAGCCAGTGGAGTATGACTATTGTTTATCTAATCCACTTGTGCAGTGGGTATTACAGACCAGGAGAAGATTGTGGTCATGAGATTCCTTGAGGAAGAGAGAATTTCAACAAGGAAGCAGAGGAAAATGGCATGGGGGGAAGAGACTGTTTCTGGTATAGGTTATGGCATTCTCTAAGACAGCGGAGCTCCAGAGAATGTGATGCTTTCCATGGAATGGCTGTGGGATGGATACTCTCTGCATGTTTAACTTACTGGATTGTACTGTTGTAGGGTTTTTGCTTTTCTTTTATAATGTTTTAGACAAAAATAATAATAATAATAATAAGCTATATATTGATCAGAACCCTTGTTTGATGGAGGTTGCATTGTCCTGGTAGTGGTTGTTTTCTCTTTAGCCTCCATAAAAATAATTATTGTTATCCCTGCTCTCTCTTCTCTTGTCCACAGAATTGTTGCGTCTTTCAGGACCTGTCATGCAGCACTCTCAGCACCTCCAGAAGCAGCCGCCACAGCCACAGCAACCCCAACACCAATCCCAGCAGCAGCAGCCACACCACCCTCAGTCAGAGTCAATCAATTCTTACTCTTCTTCTGGACCCACCAATCTATATATGAGACGGCCCAATCCAGTTAGTCCTTACCCAAGTTCGTCACAAAATTCAGAAATTTATGGAGGTGCCAACCCAGTGAACCTCTATTCCACCTCATCCCAAACTGCAGGATCATATTTTAATTCTAATCCCATGCACTCCTATCCTGGACTTTTGAATCAGAGTAGTCAATATCCATCATATCATTGCAATGGAAATGTATCAACGGACAACTGTGCCACATATCTGGGTTCTTATTATCCCCAGTCTCAGCCCATGGATCTGTATAGATATCCAAGCCAAGACCGTCTCTCTAAACTAAACCTACCACCTATTCATACCCTATACCAGCAGCGGTTTGGAAATAGCCAGACTTTTTCTTCCAAGTACCTGAATTATGGAAACCAAAATATGCAGGGAGAAGCTTTCAACAGTTGTACTATTAGACCAAATGTACACCATGTAGGGGCATTTCCTACTTACTCCACTCAGGAGATGGATGGCCACTTCATGGAAGCCACCTCGAGATTACCACCCAATCTGAGCAATCCAAATGTAGACTGTAAAAATGGAGAGCACCATCTATCTTCTCATATCATCCATAACTACAGTGGAGCTCCAGGAATGTTCAATAGTTCTCTTCATGCCCTGCATCTCCAAAACAAGGAGAATGACATGCTTTCCCACACTGCTAATGGGTTGTTGAAAATATTTACCCATGACAGAATTGTTTCTGTCCAAGAAGGCTTTCACAAATTAAATGATGGTAGCAGTCAGGAAAAACAGCCTTCAGTTCCAGTCCAGAGCGTGGCTTCTGCTGCAGAGGATAATGATGAGGTGTGGTCTGACAGTGAACAGAGTTTTCTAGATCCTGACATTGGGGGAGTGGCTGTGGCTCCAACTCATGGGTCCATCCTCATCGAGTGTGCAAAGCGTGAACTGCATGCCACAACCCCTTTAAAGAATCCAAATAGAAATCACCCCACCAGGATCTCACTTGTTTTTTACCAGCATAAGAGCTTGAATGAGCCCAAACATGGCTTGGCTCTCTGGGAAGCCAAGATGGCTGAAAAAGCCCGTGAGAAAGAGGAAGAGTGTGAAAAGTATGGGCCGGACTACGTGCCTCAGAAAACCCATGGCAAAAAAGTGAAACGGGAGCCCCCTGAGCCACATGAACCTTCAGAGCCCACTTATCTGCGCTTCATCAAGTCCCTTACTGAAAGGACCATGTCCAAGACCACAAACTCCACAGTAACTACATCTCCATATGCCTTCACTCGGGTCACAGGGCCTTACAACAGATACATATAATGTCACCCCTCTCGTTGGTTACCTCAGTTGAATAGACCACAACCAACCTGTCAGTCATATAGTTCTTGTGTGACATGGGCAGTGGGGAAAGAACACAGTATTCATAATACATGTGGTGGGGAAAACTTGGCTCACCAGCCAAAATAGAGGTGTTTTTACCATAGCACTTAATTTCCACTGACTCCTTAGTGGTCACAGATAACCTCTAGGTAAAAGACCAAAGCATTCTATGCAAAAAGAAGGTGGGGAAGAAAGTGTTTTGCAATTTGCATTTTTAAACACTGGTTCTATTATTGGTTGAGGTTATATGTAAATGTGTTTTTTTAAAAAAATAACTACACATCTGTGGCCACTTTTAATAATACCAAGCTTGCATAGTCATGGAACAGAAATGAGTACTGTACTATTACAGTGTCAGGAATCTTAAAATCCCATCTGGTGCTGAATATATGATGTACTGAAATACTGGAATCATGGCTTTTTAACATACAGTTTTTACTGTAATCTTACTAGTAACTTATTTATCAAGATAGCTATAGGAAGTATAAATGGACAGCAAAACACTGAATTTGTTTGGATGTTCTAAGAAATGGTGCTAAGAAAATGGTGTCTTTAATAATTAAAATTTAATGCCTTTATAAGAAGATACTATTAGTATCTTGAAAAATAGGGGTACCTTTCAAGTTTTTATCATAATTACCTATTACACAAGCTTAGTTTTTAAAATATGGCTATTTTAAAGGATTCTGGATTTTGCTCATCCAGTGATGTCCTTGTAGGACAATAAACATATATATATATATATATATATATATATATATATATATATATATTTGTGTATATATACACATATATATGTATAAATTATTTTAAATGGTGTTATAGAAGCACTTTGTCTACCTAAGCTTTGACAACTTGAACAATGCTAAGGTACTGAGACATGTTTTGAAAAATAAATTAAAAGTTTACTTTCAGTTTAGAATGCAAAATTGATATATAATTTTTTTTTTTTTTTTTTTTTTTTTAGGAAACAAGCTTTGAAAATGTTTTTGCTTTTAGCCATACATCTGCTGATGAGCAGTATGTCCATTTTTAACACAGCCAGTTAAATCCAAATTGGGCATACTGGATTCATGGGAATACTTTAGTCCACAAAACCTAAGTTTTCTGGTGCTCATCTCTCATGCTATACTGTAAAACAGTTTTATATAAAATCGTTTGACAAGTTCATTGCTCAAATATAGACAGTTTTAAGAATTTTCTATTAACTGCAGGTATTAATTTGCCGCATGCTACAGACTCAACAAAACGATTTCACTGAAGTATATGCTGTTTCATGGATCTGTGTGCTCTTCAAAGAAACAAATGACAGTCTGCCTTTGTGTGGGTAATTATGGTGTTGTCGGTTCTTAGCTTAAGTGTGCTCTTTACCAGGAATATTGAGCAGACTGATACCTGCATGAGATGAATAAACAGGGTTAGTTCTGTGTGAATCTGTTGATTAAAAAGAAACAAAAAATGGGCAGCTGGTTTGCTGTGGTGGTTTTAAATCATTAATTTGTATTATAAATAAGTGAAAGAGTTGTATAGTAAATTAAATTGTAAACAAAACTTTTTTAACTCAATACTTTAGTATTTTAGTACTGTAAAAAAATTTAAATATAAGTATACACACAGACACACACATATACATACGTGTGTGTGTGTATGTATGTGTATGGATTTGAAGCAGAATTCACATCATGATGGTGCTACTCAGCCTGCTACAAATATATCATAATGTGAGCTAAGAATTCATTAAAGGTTTGAGTGATGATCCTACGTGTCATATACCTCAACACTAGTTTGGCAATAGGATATTGAACTGAGAGTGAAAGCTTAATAGCATTGTGTACCAACATTTTTTTCCAAGTCTTTGTTTTGTTTTTTAATTCAAAAGACATACCTTTTTTCAATACTTGATTTCCTAGCAAGTATAACTTGAACTTCAACCTTTTGTTCTAAAACTTCAGGGATATTTCAGCTCATGTTCTCCTTATGCCAACATGTCTCCTATGTTTATGTAAAATTATTGTAGGTTATTAAATATATTCTTTTTTCAGGGATTTAATACTTTATTTTGAATCCCTGTTGTTTTACTTGTATATGTACTAATGTAACAAAAGCTAATTTTATAAATTTGTTCTTTTTATTGTAAAGAAAAACATCTAAAATGTTTAGGTAATCTTTTGACTGTTTTAAGCAGGAAAAAAATTACATAAAAATATAATGCACTGAGTTGATAAAGGGAAACTTGTAAGGCAGGAGTTTGGCAAGTGACTGCTGGTTAGTCTTTCAACTCTAATTAAAAAGCTCTTCTGAACCTGTAATAAACCAAGGTACAGAATCCACAAGACTTCCCTGAACCAGCAAATCGCTGAGAGGTCTGATGTGCAATATATTATATTTTTACATTGTGCTTTAAGGACAGGTTTGCTTACTATGGTTTCAAGTAAGTTCTTTATCATAGGAGGCCTCTCAGTTTTATTGGTCCAATATTTATAATATGAAAAAGAATTGGCTGTGTCTACTTTAAGTACAAACATTTCAAAAATGTTTACTTTTCAAGCAACCAACCCATGTGACTTTCTAGTTTTGCATATGTCATGATCATGAAACCAAACTATCTGGCTACTACATGTGCATTTAAAGACTCAAACATTAGCAATTGTGAGGATAGTGCAAGACTGGGTAGTGTTTCTTTCTGTTGTACATAATGGTCACTGTGAGTTGGAACCTACTCAGTGGCAACTAACAACAACATGGGCATTTGTTCATTTTTAGTCACCATCCCTGAGGAATATTTGGTTTCTATATCTTCCACTGTCATTTGTCAAATTGCTGGCCAACAAGAGCAGGAAGTGCAGTTTGGGGAATTGAGGAGAGGCAGAAAGCTGGAGAAGGAAGTAAGTTGCATATTGTAAATATCAGATCTATAATTGTAAATATCAAACCTGCCTCAGAATGAATGGGAAACAGTTATACAATTTGCTTATATAGGAATATCAGGTTGACTATATAGCCATACTTGAAAAAGCTTCTGAGTGGTGTCAACTTTACTTGAATGAATTTTTCATCTTGATTGACACACAGTGATGTCCAGGTCACATCTAAAGCTAGTGGTTAACTTGTGTAGGAAACTTCCACAGTTTGACACTAAGATAATGAACTTCTGTGTGCATTTTTATATGCTTTTTAAAAAAAAAAACTTAGTTTCATTTCATTTTCATGAAATGTTTGGTTTGTCTGTAAAATCTGAGGATGGTTGTAAATACTGTAAGTATTGTAATGTAATGAATGCAGGTTATTTCAAAGCTGTTTATTATTATATCATTCCTGATAACGCTATGTGAGTGTTTTTAATAAAATTTATATTTATTTAATGCACTCTAAGAATTGTCTTGCTGAAGTTTCTGTTTACTACTAGAACAGTTGTCAACTCACTCAGGAAAAAGAATGGAAAAAAAAATGTGTAAGATTAATGAGCTGTGTAAATGATTGCTAGCAGAAAAGTTGACAATTTGAAGCTGCCCAGAGGCAGCCAGTTCTTTTTTATATTATAAAGATTGGACCAATAAAACTGAGAGGCCTCAGAAGACAGTTTTTCAAATCCTGCTGAACACACACAGTTCTCTGTACACGTGGGATCACTATGAGTTGGAAATGACTTGATGGCATCTAACAACAATGTTCATACACCTAAGATGACCTCCATATAATCGAAGCCAAGGTATTCCTTTGGTTACTGACCTAGATATTCCATTTAATTTTTGTTTCAGCTTATTTTTTTACCAATGTACTTTGCATGTGTTCTTATTGCCTTTTGGAAGCAAATTGTCAGGCCTGCCAGATTTGAGGTGTCTGTAAGTGTATTTGAGCCCCCAAACTTTCAGCAAGTCCTAACGCACCGGACAGTTTGGGCTACCCAGCCACCTTGGTTTGGATAGTGTCAGTCAGGAAGAGAGTAAATATCAATTCTCCTGACCTCAGATTGATTGGTTGCCTCATGCAATGTGCTATCTTTGGGGGCTAACAGATATTATGTTCTGTACATTGGGTTTGGGTTAGTGTTGCCTAGATTTAGACCACCTCTGTTTTCAGGCTTGTCCTTTTCACACAATTTTCTCCCAACGGAGAAATTCTTTTACATACCAGAAAGGTAAGCAATTGAGTGTCAGGCAAGTTTGGGGCAAGAGGAATGGGGACAGGCATCCAACAAATGGATTTTCTTATCCAACTCTACAGGATGGGTAAGTACTGTCCAGTCAGTTCTGACTTCTACCGAATGTATGGGGTTTCCAAGGAGCAGCTACTGTGCATGAACTGCAACCTCAAGGTGTTTTTTGTCAAGTGCTGTTGTCCCTGTGTAGGATTTCCAAGGAGTGGCTGGGGAGTTTGAATTGCCAACCTTGCGATTCAAACTGTCATTGAGGTTGAGTTCAGCCCAGAATAATTTGTCCTCATCTCTACCCATTCTCTTCCGTGTGAATCAGCCTTACACAAGTGAGATGCTGCTAAAATGCTCTCTGAAACCTCAAGATAATTATCAAACATACTCAGCAGTTACATGAATCTGCCAACTTCCCCAAGTTTTCTGAGGACAAAAAAATTATGTATGAAGTGAATTCCCTTTCCCCAAATCCTTCTCAATTCAACATGGACTAAATTTAGTTTAAATAGGGAATGACTGCCATTTAGTAACATTTGAGTACATGGAGTAGGAGATTGCTCTAGGAACTCTGCTGTAAGCCAGTATATTAGGAGAAGCAGCAACATCACTGTTACCAAAAGTAGGGTATCTTAGGACTTTGAACTTCAAATCTTTGGGCACATTATCAACCCTCATGTCACCATCCATCTGGCTGAACTTCGAGAATACACCCACTGTTCAAATTTGGAAGTATCCATTGCCAAAAGCGGAGTCCTGGTGTGGTGCTGTGGATTAATGCACTGGACTGCAA